CAGTCCCCCCCCCCCCCCCCCGCCAGGAAGCCCAGCTGGAGGCTGGGGACCCCCCCACGCTGCACCCCGGGACCCAGCGCCTTGGGGTGAGGGCACCCCGGGGGTCCCCAGCCCCGACCCGCCGACGCTCGTGGGGCTGACCCACACCGGATGTATTCGCTGCCTTGACATTAATTTAATAAAGCCTCGTCCTCCCACTTGGACCCGCTCCAGCCCGGCTCTCCTCCTTCCTGTGGCCGGGTGGCTGGGGGTGGACGATGGGAGTGGAGGGGGAAGCAGCCCCAGGGCAGGACTGGGGGGACAGGGGAGGGCACAGATTGCGCTTCCAGGATGCTTTCCACCAGGAAAATGTGCCTGGGGCCATCCATCAGCATGGGTTGGGGACAGGGGCCCCATGCCCAGGGAGATGCTTCTACTGGGGCGATGCTCCCCATCCTCGGAGCGATGCTCCCCATCCCTGGGGTGATGCTCCCCCATCCCTGGGGTGATGCTCCCCATCCCCGGAGCGATGCTCCCCATCCCTGGGGTGATGTTCCCGCATCCCTGGGGCAATGCTCCCCCGTCCTTGGGGTGATGGTCCTCCCTGGGGCGATGCTCACTCCCTGGGGCGATGGTCCCCCACCTCTGGGACAATGTTCCCCAACCCCGGGGCAATGTTCCCCAACCCCGGGGCAATGCTCCCCATCCTTAGGGCAATGCTCCCCATCCCTGGGGCAATGTTCCCCAACCCCAGGGCAATGCTCCCCATCCCCAGGGTGATGCTCCCCATCCCTGGCGTGATGCTCCCCATCCCCAGAGTGATGCTCCCCATCCCCAGAGTGATGCTCCCCCCCTGGGGCAATGCTCCCCCATCCCTAGAGCAATGCTCCCCATCCCTGGGGTGACACTCCCCCACCTCTGGGACAATGCTCCCCATCCTTAGGGCAATGCTCCCCATCCCTGGGGCGATGCTCCCCCATCCCTGGGGCCCGGTTGATGCCGCTCAGAGCTCACTTGCTGGCCAGGCACTGCCCTGACCGTCGTCTGGGCTGGCTGGCGAGAGCAGGATGGGATGCCAGCCCACCCCATCCCCGTGCCAGCGCCTTCAGCAATGAGCCAGCAAAACCAGCCGCTATTCCTGCCCGCATTGGGCAGGCTGCCCGGGGGGACAGCGCGCGGCCACCCAGCCCCGGGAGCTGCCGGGTACCCCCAGCATCGCGGCGGGGACCCCATCGCCCCAGCAGACGTGGCTTTGCTCCTTCTCCCAAAGGGTGCTGGCCTTGCAGGGGGGCTGCAAGGAGCCAAGGGGGCTCAATCGCCCCGTTGTGCGGCCGGGCGTGGGGAAGAGCCGCATAAATCAGCCTCCGGCTGGAGAATGGGCTCCTTTATGCCAGGCAAAGGGCTGAGTCACCCTGGGCAAGGGGATGAGGGGACCCGGGTGGCCACGGCATCCCTGGGGACCGACAGCCTCGCACCCACGGGTGCACTCACATCGCTCTT